GCACAAAAAAAAAGGTCCCCTAGGATTCCTCTTTTAGCTGGGTGTGGTGGCACATGCCTGTAATCTCAGCATTCAGGAGGCTGAGGCAAGAGGCTCTCGTTGGGAATTGAAGACCAGTCACTCAAGGTCAGCCTGAACTATACAGCAAGAGTCTACCTCAAAAAGACCAAAAGGGGCCAGGGAGATGGCTCAGTAGCATAAGGGTTTCCCTGGCAAATGCAAGGGCGTGAGTTCAATACCTGGTTCCTCAAAAAAACAACAACAAAAAAACCCCAAAAAGACCAAAAAAACCCAGAAGCAAGGGCCAGCCAAATAGCTCAGTGAATTAAAGCCCCTGCTTAGGCAGACATAGCAGCCAGGGTTTGATCCCCAGCGTTTGATCACCAGCATGCAGTGCAGGCCCCGCCCCTGGGGCAAACTGAGATGGTGATATGCCTACAGCCCCAGCTCTTGGGAGGCTGAACACAGGCAGATCACTACGAATCCCATCTGCCTACTGAGACCCTGTACTAAATACAAAAACAAAACAAAACGAAAAACAGAAGCAGGTTGATTAGCTAGGTGTGGTGGCACACTCTGGAAGACTGAGAAAGTTGCAAATTTGAACCCCATTTAGGTGACTCATTTGAGGCCCAGCATTGAAAGGGTTGGTGATGTAGCTCACTGTGAAGGTCTTAGGTAAATGAGTGCAGGAATGTAGCAAATTTGTTGTCCCAACTACTGAGACAAGTGTTAGGATTAAAATCTACCATGTCCCCTATGGAGAATATGCCATGGCTGCCACAATGTGAAACAACGTGCCTCTGGGCAGTATGGTAAGCTGCTGTTTCTTGGAGGGCTGAGCACGAAGAATAAAGTATCACAGTAGCTGACAGGTGGCCCCACAGCTGTGGCCTTGGGCGAGTACACAGGTGTGACAACCTGTTGGGTATGGTGGCAAGTAGCCACACTGTTTGTCACATTCTAGGCCTACAGGGTCCAGATGGAAATGTGTTCTCCAAGTCAGTGCTGTGGAAATTCACGCAGGTAATAACACCTACTGGGGAGGCTATGGGCCCTGAATGAAATGGGCTGTGTGGGGCCGGAGAGATAGCTCAGAGGCATAAGCACCAACCTGGCAAGTACAATGACCCAAGTTCGATCCCTGGCCACACAGCCCCAGGCCCCCGAGCATGCTGTCTCAACCGGATGCAGCTGCCCACTCTGTGACCCCAGAACTGGGCATGGTGGGGCATGCCTGTAATCCCAGCACTTGAGAAGGATCTCTGCGAGTTTGCGAGCAGCCTGGGGGCTACAAAAGTGAGCACAAGGCCAGCCTGAACTGCACAGTGAGACCCCTGTTTCAAACAAACAAACAAAAAAAGATAGACTATATGTGAAATGAGCAACAGGGCCATGCCACCATGATGGTTTGGGTGGACAGTGGCTATAGGGACTGTACTCAGCACCTGGCCCAGATGCCAAGCCCTGCCAAGTCAGGAGGCTGCACAGATGACAAGAGGTAGGAAGATAGCATCTTTATTGGGGGTGAGTTCTGACAGAACAGGGGCAGGCATCTGTGGACATCAAGGCTCACAGCGATGTCCTGGGCAGGTGTAGAAACCATCCCTCTTGGGCTGCTACCTCCACATCTCCTGTGAGCCACATGGAAGTTAGGAGCATTCAGGAGTGCAGGAAGCGGTTGAAGGCGTTGTAGGCTGACTCCAGGTCGAAGAGCATCTGGCGTACCTGGGAGTCATCCAGCTCATCAGAGGCTGACATGCCACTGAGGGTCTGCAGCCTAGGAGGACAGTGAAGCCTGAGTGAGTGAGGGCTTGTTATGGTTTGTGTCTAGTTGTCCCCCCAAAGCCTCATGCAGTCATGGGGTGAGGACTTCTAGAGTTTGTGTTAACTCATGATCCACTGGGATTATGTGTGATCCAAGGCTGGGATTATGGGTCTTAATATTGCTGGGATTATCCATAGGTGGGTAAGTACTGGGAAGTACCCATAGGTGTGAGTACTTCCCCTACCCTGGGGCAGGTAACTTGCATTACAATATAGGGTGGGAAGAGAAGCTAGCTGCTTGAGCTGCTGCTACCCCTCCCTTGTGCTCTTGCTCTTTGCCGCCGCCATGAAAGGTTGCTTTCTGCTCTGTGCTGCTCTGCCTTGGACCCAAATGAGTATGGACTGAAACCTCCAGTAACCGTGAGCTAAATAAACCTTTCCTTCCTTCATTTTGAGTGTCGGGTATTTGTCCCAGCAACGAGAGAGGAGTAACTAAGACAGGGCTGCAGGTGAGGTCCCTGCATTAGCAGCTCTGTAGCCCCAAGAGGTACTCACCATTGGCTCACTGTTTGGCGGCCCTCAAAATCTGGGGGCAGGTGGCTCATGCGGTGCATGGTCTCCATCAGCTCCCTCAGGTCAGGCTGGATCTGCAAAAACAGGGACAGAGCTGAGACTCCTGCCCCGCCCCCTCCTCCCAACA